GTAGGTTCTGCAAACCAATACACTTTTCTGGAATTTCACCTCAGGGGAGTGTATGAACCAAGTAGCTACGTCATGCACTCGAGGGAGAGTCTAGCCCTACTTGCTATACCCGACACAAGTTTTTCGTGTAACCATGAGACTTAGTTGGATCTTCGATCTAACTTTCCCGAGCCCACCCATCAATCACCAAACATGGTGTTTGATCAAACCATGCACACACGCTCACACTCGCACTCATGTGCATTGTCATGATGTTAACATATTAACAACACATATAAACTCATTCATACCAAATAACAATTCATAAGCATGTCATTACATATCCTATACCCATTTCCACATCTTTCCCAAGGCACAATATAAACACATAGCATGCCTAAATAATATCAAATTCCAAGAATTTTCACAAGTGCCATTCCCATATCAAATTTAAGCTAGAATTTGATTTAGGCCATTTTCATACCCATTTCCACATGTCAACAACAATAGAAAAGTGACCTATGTTGTTATATACACATACCCATCCCATATAACATCTTAGGTAAGAAATAAACCCGAGTAGGAGAAAACCCTATCTCTTGAAGCGTAAAATGAAGGGTAGAACCTTCAGGAATACCTCCCAAGCCCAAAACCCTTGATTTTTCCAAAATCTTCTCTTTGGATCTTCTGTGAAATCCTTCATTCTTGGTATGGCTGTATAGCCCTCGTCGAGGTGATCAACTTTAACTCTTGGTCTGAGTCAATTCAACCAACAGAGCTTCGTAGATCGTAGGGAGAAGGTAGAAATCTTATTTTTTTATTTTCTCTCTTCTCTCTCTTTCTCTTCTAACATGGGCCAACCGGTAGAATGGAGAGAAATCAGATATTTATCCCCCTATATTTATCCCCCTATTTATACCCTTTAGTTCNCTGAGTCAATTCAACCAACAGAGCTTCGTAGATCGTAGGGAGAAGGTAGAAATCTTATTTTTTTTATTTTCTCTCTTCTCTCTCTTTCTCTTCTAACATGAGCCAACCAGTAGAATGGAGAGAAATCAGATATTTATCCCCCTATTTATACCCTTTAGTTCTGAGGTCTATGTTGCGCCGCACATTTCTTATTTCTGGGTGTATTTTTGTGTCGAAGTGACTTAATTTCGTCCCAGTTTAATTTCAAATTATTTTCATTTGAAATTTTCTTCAATTATAAGGAAATTTTATAAATTTTATTTTTGGGGACGTTTGTGAGGTCACCCGACATCCAATTGTCTCATAAAACATGAAAAATTCGACTATCTCGAAATTCGATGAAAATTGGCTGGACAACTTGATTTCGTGAGACAAATCCAACAGTGNCAAATTATTTTTATTTGAAATTTTCTTCAATTATAAGGAAATTTTATAAATTTTATTTTTAGGGACGTTTGTGAGGTCACCCGACATCCAATTGTCTCATAAAATATGAAAAATTTGACTATCTCGAAATTCGATGAAAATTGGCTGGACAACTTGATTTCGTGAGACAAATCTAACAGTAAAGTTCATTGTATCATCCGAGCTCTATAGAAATACATATTTTAATTATGCATTATAGTGACAAATTACCGTTTTACCCTTTTTCAAAAAAAGCTCAAATTTACTCGGGTTTTACATACCTTACTTTATTAATAAAGGTTCCTTGGCCACTGTCACAATTTTTTGGAGTGGAGTAGGTCACCTAGACCGAACCATTATATATATGTGTGTTGACCCGATATTTACCTTTTTGGNAGAAATACATATTTTAATTATGCATTATAGTGACAAATTACCGTTTTACCCTTTTTCGAAAAAAGCTCAAATTTACTCGGGTTTTACATACCTTACTTTATTAATAAAGGTTCCTTGGCCACTGTCACAGTTTTTCGGAGTGGAGTAGGTCACCTAGACCGAACCATTATATATCTGTGTGTTGACCCGATATTTACCTTTTTGCCATTGATTGTTTTATTAATTGTCTCATTAATTTCCTAAATCACACACTTGACTGTTGATCTTGCACGAGACTATTTTGTGCATCATCACCAACCATGTTCAATTACAACATCTTTCAAAAATCAGGGTTTCAGCTCGGGATTAAATCAAGGCTTGGGAAGGTAGATTTTGGGGGTTCTTACTATGCGGGCTCACACTACAATAGATAGGGTTTCTCCTATTTAGATGTCACTTCAACCTAGATTATGGCACATGAAATGGGTAGGCTATGGGTGTATTTATCACATGTTTAGCTCTTGACTAGTGTAACTATTGGTTTAAATGTAGGATTTGTAATTTATCCTTTAATTTCTAAAACCCTATTATGATTAATTTGGTACAGGTTAAAATTAGTGGTTTAAAGCATGTCAGTTGTAAATTAGCATGATTTTGATGTATTAATGGCATATCAAGCTTAATTGATTTATTAGCTTGTGATATAAGTATGAGATTATAAATATATTAAATGATCATTTAGCATATGACTAGTATAGTTAAACTGTGCTTATGCTTATTAAATTAATAAACTTTTTGTTATGTTGAAAGTAACAAGCATTCTAGTTGTATAAATTGATGTGCCCTTTAGGTTTTTTTTAAATTCCTAAGTGAATACAAGTTGACATTGTAAATGGTATCGAAGGCAATTGCACATTGCATTGCATTATGCATGGGTTACACTACATTCATGGGCATTGACATGGGTGAGAGTGTGTGCATAGTATGAAATCAATCATCACATAGGTGGTTGATTATGGGCTGAAAAAATTCACACCAACATCTAGCTAAGTCGCACAAAAAATTAAATGGATAAACGTGTTAAGGTGTAGCAAGAAAAGTNGTGAGAGTGTGTGCATAGTATGAAATCAATCATCACATAGGTGGTTGATTATGGGCTCAAAAAATTCACACCAACATCCAGCTAAATCGCACAAAAAATTAAATGGATAAACGTGTTAAGGTGTAGCAAGAAAAGCTAGATTCTTCCTTGAGTGAAAGACTTGCTTACTTGGTTTATACCCTCCTCGGCAATGAAATTCTAGAAAAGTGTAATGACAAAAATAGAGTTGCAGGTGGGATGTCCTGAAAATTCATTGATGGTGTGGTTTGCCATTGGTAAAATATCGTAAATTAATGCCCCATAAAGATGCAAAAAATGAATTAAATAGCCATTGGGTGTACATAAAATCAATGGTGGGGGCTTGGAATGTTAGAATTCATTCGCATGACATTGCATGTGTGTGAGAGCCCNATGGTGTGGTTTGCCATTGGTAAAATATCGTAAATTAATGCCCCATAAAGATGCAAAAAATGAATTAAATAGCCATTGGGTGTACATAAAATCAATGGTAGGGGCTTGGAATGTTAGAATTCATTCGCATGACATTGCATGTGTGTGGGAGCCTNATGCCCCATAAAGATGCAAAAAATGAATTAAATAGCCATTGGGTGTACATAAAATCAATGGTGGGGGCTTGGAATGTTAGAATTCATTCGCATGACATTGCATGTGTGTGAGAGCCCGGGATGGGGCTCAGAGTTAGTATTGCATGCGTGAGTTCCATCTCATAACATGGCATGATTTACGACATATGTTTAGGATAAATATATTTGAATGATTGCATGACATGATGTTAAATGTGACATTTCATATGCATTTTGGGTTGGGAAGTATTCTTTATATGAGTTACCATATTGAGCATTGGCTCACCCTTTATGAGAACATTTTTCAGGTATCGCACATGTTTCCAGTAAAGGCCCATCAACAGGCCCGCTTTAAGGNTAGGATAAATATATTTGAATGATTGCATGACATGATGTTAAATGTGACATTTCATATGCATTTTGGGTTGGGAAGTATTCTTTATATGAGTTACCATATTGAGCGTTGGCTCACCCTTTATGAGAACATTTTCAGGTATCGCACATGTTTTCACTAAAGGCCCTTCAACAGGCGGGCCCGCTTTAAGAATAGACTTAGGTTCTGGCTCTTATTTTTGGATGTGGTAATTTTTTGTTTCCATTACATTGGTCTTGTATAAATTTCTTAAACAAAACTTGTATTTTGAATTAAGGCATTTATATGGGACTATTTTGGACATTTATTCTTTTATGAATAAATGTATGCATAAATGATGGTTATGGGTTGTATTCAATGTTATGAGATTGAATTTTGATGAATGGACTTGGTGTGGTCAATATTATATAAATGCACAGGCTGTGTATTAGGTAGAACTCCCCGTACAATGGAGAATCTGCCCACNTGAGATTGAATTTTGATGAATGGACTTGGTGTGGTCAATATTATATAAATGCACAGGTTGTGTATTGGGTAGAACTCCCCGTACAATGGAGAATCTGCCCACATTTTATTAAATTTATGGACACTAGTAAATGAGGTATCACTACATGTTATCGGGTTCAATGGTATCATGGGTTATTCCGTAGGTTGATGGGTGTTCAACGGATTAATTGGGACCCCCGAGAAATAGGGCATCACAAAATAATTATGTTCCTACAACCATTGTTCCTACTTCCGTGAGTGTCTCATGGAGAGAAACCCGAGAAATTTAATGGCTCAAATTTCAAATGTTGGCTACAAAAGATATTTTTTTATCTTGCCACATTGAACTTTGCCAAGTTTCTAAGTGAGGATGCACTTAATGAAAATGGAACTAACAAGGAAAAGTTGATTGTAATGGATGATTGGAAGTATTCGGATTTCTTGTGAAGAAATTATATCTTGAACGGACTAGACAATACATTATACAATGTGTATAGTGTTGTCAATTCTACAAAAGAACTTTGGGAGTCTTTGGACAAGAAATACAAGACCGAAGCTATTGGTATGAAGAAATTCATTGTTAGTAAATTCTAGGATTATAAAATGTTTGGATTCAAAGACGGACATAACCCAAGTTCAAGAACTTTAAGTTATCCTTTATGACATCCATGCCGATAAGAAAAGTGGAGTCTTTAATTCATGAAATCTAAATGCAACATTGTGGAAGGTGTGACAAAGACTAACATGGAAAGGAAGCACAATGGTGAAAGTCCAAATCAAGGATCAAGGGCAAATGCTACAACTGTGGCAAACTTGGACATCTCTCTAAGGACTANGAAATCTAAATGCAACATTGTGGAAGGTGTGACAAAGACTAACATGGAAAGGAAGCAGAATGGTGAAAGTCCAAATCAAGGATCAAGGGCAAATGCTACAAATGTGGCAAACGTGGACATCTCTCTAAGGACTGNGGAAAGGAAGCACAATGGTGAAAGTCCAAATCAAGGATCAAGGGCAAATGCTACAACTGTGGCAAACTTGGACATCTCTCTAAGGACTATCAAAATCCAAAGAACTTCAAGAAGCCAAATTCTCAATCAAATGTGACTGAAACAGACAAGCTTTCAATAAAAGTCTTTGACATGAACCTCTCAGCAGTTGTTTCTGAATGTAACTTGGTGGGAAACCCCAAGGAGTGGTTGGTTGACACTGGCGCTACTTGACACATTATCTCCAACAAATGGATGTTCTCTACTTACACGAAGTTAGAGAATGATGAACAACTCTATAATTTAACCAGATTTAAATCATACACCCATGAATAAGGGGTTAAATTACAATATTTCTCAGTTAAATCCGAGGTCGAACCCATAGGGAGCTTACTGTTGGTATTCAAAAAATNATGGATGTTCTCTACTTACACGAAGTTAGAGAATGATGAACAACTCTATAATTTAACCAGATTTAAATCATACACCCAAGTATAAGGGGTTAAATTACAATATTTCTCAGTTAAATCCGAGGTCGAACCCATAGGGAGCTTACTGTTGGTATTCAAAAAATAAAAAGGTAATATTGTCGTGTGTGCTGGAATAGGTTCTCTTTAGTTTAGGGAGTTAACTAAAATAAACACTTAACTAAAAATTTGGATAACAATGATAAATGGACTACTCACACTTCATTGCTATAGACAAGCAATAAGAATGAGGTAATCCCATTACAATTGAAAATAAAATACAACAAAATCCTTCCTTGAGGAATAGCTGAAACACTGCCACTCTTATTACCAGTTAGGGCACAAAAGTGGGAAAGGTTCAACCCTCCAAGTAGAAAGGATAAACAGAAATGTAGAAGTAGAGAAAATTCTGATTGAGAGTGATTAGAGTAGGGTTTCGCTCTTTCTAATTGAAACTCCTTGAAAACTCTCTTTCATTGCCTCCTTTTTCTTTGTTCTCTTGCACTAGATTGAACTCCGGTGAATCCCATTAAAATAAGCTGAATAGGGCTATTTATAGGCAGAAGAAGAGGGGGTAGCACCGGCAGACACCCAAACTGCCCAATCGCATCAAGTTGTTGCTCAAATGGACTGATGGGAGGAGAAAGACGGTTTAGCCACCGTCTGGATGCTACCACCATTATCCGGATGGTGCTAATCCTCTGNGAATAGGTTCTCTTTAGTTTAGGGAGTTAACTAAAATAAACACTTAACTAAAAATTTAGATAACAATGATAAAAGGTTCTCTTTAGTTCGGGGATCCAACATTCATTATACTGCTTATTTATGAAAATGCCACCTTGTAGAAATTTACTCCCATTTTACTGGAAAGTTAATTGGTAGGTTTGATATATAACTATACTATATCACAACAATTGGTTAGGTTAGCTAGAAGGTCTATATACCATGCAAGAACCAAATAACCCTAGATATTTGATTGGTAGGTTGATGATTCAATGAAAATGGAGTTTCGATTTTTGCATTGAATCAATAGCATTGGCTACGTGTCTATAACCAATCTCCTGACTTTTACATAAACCAACTACATGCATCACCGTATCATGCATAAAGTACATAATAATTATAGATAGAATGGTATATATCATTAGACTTTGCTCAGTGTTCATAACCATGAGCGTATTACAATTATAACCATCCATCAATTAAGGGAGGTATAAAATTTAACTCATAAATAAAACATCGGCATTTTCATAACTGAAACAACATTACACATGCATTCACCCTCCGCCGAAGAGTATAAATGGACTACTCACACTTCATTGCTATAGACAAGCAATAAGAATGAGGTAATCCCATTACAATTAAAAATAAAATACAACAAAATCCTTCCCTGAGGAATAGCTGAAACACTGCCACTCTTATTACCAGTTAGGGCACAAAAGTGGGAAAGGTTCAACCCTCCAAGTAGAAAGGATAAACAGAAATGTAGAAGTAGAGAAAAGTCTGATTGAGAGTGATTAGAGTAGGGTTTCGCTCTTTCTAATTGAAACTCCTTGAAAACTCTCTTTCATTGCCTCCTTTTTCTCTGTTCTCTTGCACTAGATTGAACTCCGGTGAATCCCATTAAAATAAGCTGAATAGGGCTATTTATAGGCAGAAGGGGGGTAGCAGCGGCAGACACGCAAACTGCCCAATCGCATCAAGTTGTTGCTCAAATGGACTGATGGGAGTAGAAAGACGGTTTAGCCACCGTCTGGATGCTACCACCACTATCCGGATGGTGCTAATCCTCTANTGCTCAAATGGACTGATGGGAGGAGAAAGACGGTTTAGCCACCGTCTGGATGCTACCACCATTATCCGGATGGTGCTAATCCTCTGGTTTTCCATGTTTGGTAGCCTCCTTGTTTGACTCTTTGACTTCCTAATTTCTCTTGTCTCCCCTTCTTCATTCAGCCTCTCCACTTTTATCCTGTTAAACTTAATCACTTTAATCTAAGCACACAATTAACCCTAAACCCTAATTCATTATGTATTATTATGGTTAATCACACCCCCAACCAAACATTACTAGTCCCTAGTAATAAAAAAAATAAAATAAAATCACTGTCGTAGATTTCATGATTTCATTTAGCTTGTGCAACAAGCCGTTAAACCCCTAGGTGATCCCTAGTGGACGAGTTTTGTCTCGTGAAGGTTTCCAGTGAAGATACCTACTAACTTCAAAGGTTAGGATTACATAATTCATATTTTTCACAAATAAAATTAAATCACCATTCTATTCTATTAACATGATACTTCTCCTCCCCTCATCACTGTAAGAGTAGCACGCATTAATTGTAACACTATACAATATATTCTCAAAAAAACTTCATGTGTGTGTAGGGATTTATTTATTTCAAAAACACTTAAGAAATATCACAATCCTTCACTCCATTGTACAAGAATTAGCCTCGATGTCAATCTTTTCCTGGAAATCACTGAACAAAGAATACATTCAAGTTTTAGTGACTATCACTAAAAAATTATATGTGATAAGAATATTGTTATCAAAGCAAGATAATAGTGCATGTAATATCTCAAAAGAAGGTTATTTGAATAGAACTGGAAATTGACATAATCTCATGAAAAAATATTAACACTGTATCAAATAACATTATCAACACTCTCCCTTTTTAATGAATAGATGAAAATAATACATATGCATGACTTTTGGAATCAAACATGACTTTATCAAGGTAACGTGGCCAAGGGTATTAGGTTTAAAGAAATGACATCAAAGATATTCAAAAAGCTATCCTTTCCGATTAGTGTAGCACACAGCTCTCCCATTTTTACAAAAATTTATGCTTTGTATTTCCCATTTCTCCTTTCAAACCCATTTTTTGCAATTTCTTGACTATTTTCTTTGTTTTCTTCCTTGCTTTTTCTCTTGCTTTTCCTCTTTGCTTTCTTTTACAGATTTTTTTCTTTTTTCTTTTTCTTTTCTTTCTTGAACCGTAGTCACCATTTTTCTCCCTTTTTTGTATAATGTCTTATTTAGGAGAGGATGCAAGAAAATTAGATAGCAAAGGTCGAATAAATATTTTTTTCTGTTGCTCGGTTAATGCATGGGTTCAAGAAAAGAAATTATACTTTTTAGGCTCAATCACGGCTTGCTAGGGATATAGTTTAGCCAAATCATTTTTCAGAATTCATGCACCTGCAAAATTTCTATAAAGATTTAAAAGAGAATGTTTGACATTTCATTTGACGAGCGCTAATCAAAACACAGATAATGAGATTATTTAAAGAAATTTTAAACTGAATATAAATTCTTATTTGAGTAAATGTGAAAATTCTTTCCGAGGAGGATTGACTCAAAATCTGCATAGGGGTTTTACATCTCTACTATATATGTAAGCTTCATAAACGACCGTAGTATTTTAAAAGGTTTCTAAAATAAAAATTTTTACGTGCTCAAAATATGAGTTTCTATGAAAGTATACAGATAGTGTAAAAACAATGTATGACAATCTCGAGCAATCTGGTTGGGGTTATACCTGCAAACGCATTTAGAATGATAACATAATTCTTATCGTGAATCATATGAAATAAGTATCCTAAAACAGCAAAATTTTAAGCAAAATCACCAACTAACCAAATTAATTAAAAACCAACCCAAAACAACTATTCAAAATATGAAACTAAAATAAAATGTATAAGTAAAAAGTTCGATAAAAGTAGAAAGAGCATAGAAATTTTAGAAACTCTAGTAACTAGGCTGATGGGCCTCCACAGTATTGTCGTCGAAGTAGCCTCAGGATCTCTTTTTTGTTTTCTTCATAGCTGGTCATCCTTTGGTCCAACTGGGTGATGCAAGTCTCTAATCCCAACAGAATTTGGCGGTCAGTCTGGTCATCAACAAGAATATAAGGCTGCTCTTCTGGTTTCTAGGGCTCCTCCGGTGGCTAAAAATCTGCACCTTCTAGGAATGGATTTGCTAACAATTCTAGTGGTGCTTCTTGTGGCTCTTCTTCAACAAGGTTTTATCCTATGGTGCCAAATGCTCCACATTTCGCCATGTCAAATCTGTAATTACTCTTTTCATCCCACTTAACTCATATACAACAAATGGGAGTGAGGCCTTCATAGTCTTAACAGTTAGCATCATTTAATCCATTATCAGTGTTGGCAAGTCAATAGTGTATCCCATTTCGAAGGCATACAGAAAAATAAAATCTCTCAGTGTAGATTTGATTTTTCTAAGTCTGGGTCAACAAATTATTCACAANTAAAATCTCTCAGTGTAGATTTGATTTTTCTAAGTCTGGGTCAACAAATTATTCACAATGATCAAATTCAAGATTATGTATTTGTCATTTAAGTCCCTTTGCTTAATATACTTGTTTGGTATACCCTAGATACTTTGGATTCCCAGTCAACTCAATCCCAATGGTATTAATGTCAGGCAATATGTTATAGGGATATTGGGGATGTTGATGCTTTGGCATAGGATTCAAAAAATTATCAATGGTGGCCAGTGTAACTCGAAATACAACTCCCCTAACAAATGCATGAAATTGACTTGGCCTAGTTTCCTTTGCATTACTATAAATTTTTGAACTAAACATTCATAAGCATGACCTACCAATTTCACATAATTTAGCCA